TAAGTGATTTCTGGTAGCCAATGTTGATATTTGAAATCACCAAAACAAACACGCCCCTACCCCAAAAGGGTCTTGGCCCTATTTTGATAGCTCCGCCCCACACATACATATGCAACCCAGACAACGATTAGTTCTGTGAAACAAAGCAAAACCAATGTTACACCGTGTCTACATCGGACGTGGCGCAACAAATCCCTGACAGAAAACTGCTGCCGGATTCTATTTATGACGTGCTGACACAAATTTCTTCTAATTTTTAACGCTCGTTTGATCGCGTCCACTGTAGGCAGACTTTAGCTGTTGTAGGCACGGTGTTACTCACCTATTGAGAAGAAACAAAGCAACCTCGGCGTCCGATCGCAGGCCTCCGCTCCTTGAGTTCTCCAGCGCTGGAAAGCTGATCCATATTTACACAGGTCCTACTTCTTGCCTTATCGTTCCGCAGACATTTTCCTCTTTTGTTTTTTTATCCGCCATCTCTATCTTTCTGGCCCTCGGGCCCCACACATACGTACGCAACCCAGGCAACGATTAGTTCTGTGAAACAAAGCAAAACCAATGTTACACCGTTACACCGACACAAATTTCTTCTAATTTTTAACGCTCGTTTGATCGCGTCCAGTGTAGGCAGACTTTAGCTGTTGTAGACACAGTGTTACTCACCTATCGAGAAGAAACAAAGCAACCTCGGCGTCCGATCGCAGGCCTCCGCTCCTTGAGTTCTCCAGCGCTGGAAAGCTGATCCATATTTACACAGGTCCTACTTCTTGCCTTATCGTTCCGCAGACATTTTCCTCTTTTGTTTTTTTATCCGCCATCTCTATCTTTCTGTCCCTCGGCTCGGCTAATGTCCGTCCTGTGCACTGAAAGCTCTCTCCTCCACATCACGAGTAGACACGCCCCTTACTGCTGATTGGCTACAAGTTTGTTTTGCTATTCGGCCCGAATCAGTTTTCTAAAGTGTTTTTGAAAAATTACATACCCCACCTTTAATTGTCCACGGAGCAGAATTCAGTCAGCGAGCGCACTGAGCAAAACACTGGCATTTCAGCGATGACTCATCTGAACGCTTCTGATTGGCCATTGCATTCATAAACTCAACAGAATCGTATGTGATTGGTTATAATGCACAGCGCTGTAAAAAACGTCTGTTCTGGACCAGTGCCAGCCAAAGTGCAAACGCAGATTTGAATTTAGAATCTGATTTTGTGCCGCACTGAATGTTCTAATCACACCAGTATGATTGTATTAAATATAAAAAATATATATTATTCAACTTTTTTTTTTGTCTTATGGAAGCTGCATTCAAAATCCACATGTCCTGCCTATAGACTGTATAAAAACATGGACGTAGTGTCCATGACGTCACCCGTAGGTTTCCGAAGAGCGTTTTTGAAGCTCAAAGTAGGCGGAGCCAGCCGTCGCAATCCACCTGTCACTCAAGTGGCCACGCCCTTAATTATGCAGAACTTTAAGGCTTAATATAATGTAAACGGATGAGTTATAAAAAAAATTCACCCGCCTCACAGTTGTCATGAAGGGCAAAATTAGCTATATAGACCAAAACCACTTTTGAACCAGGCTGTAAACATGTTTTTTTCTGCTGTAAAGTTGGGTATTTTAACATGGGGAGTCTATGGGATTGACTCCCTTTTGAAGCCCGCCTCTAGCGGCCAGTTGATGAATTACAGTTTAAGTCACTTCCGTGTTGGCTTCATGAGAGAGAGCGAGAGGTTGCCACTTGGTCCTGCCCCGGCGTCTGGAGTCAAGGGACCTCATATATAAAATGTTGTGCAGAAACCATACTAAATTTGATCTTACGATCATCTCTCAAATTTGCATAGGCTACGTGTGATTCATAGAATGAACATATGCACAGAAAATGCAATGTGAAGTCTATTAATCGCAAATGATATTGAATGATCTTTGCATAAAGCAATTCAAATGTGCCGCAGCTCTCTCAAATTCAATGTGCATCTGACACAGAAGTTCACACAGTATAAGACAAGTAAGTTTTGAGTAGAAACATTGCATTAATCTCATACTTTAACTCTGAAATAGATTAATGGCTCACACTGAATTTCTGAAAATTCAGAAATTTCAGAAAGGATCACGAATCCCAGCATGGCCCAAATATTATTTTAAACATTTTTAATTGGATTTTTGTGGGTTGAACACAGTCAGGATATAAATGCATTTATTTGCCCTAAAATTGCACTAAAATGACCATTTTAAGATATTGGTTTACGCTCATGGTCTTATTACTGTGTTTATGGAGTCATGTTAATAAACCCCCTCTCCCTCCTTTTGTTCTGAGTTCAAAGGTTACTCTGGACATTAGGTGATCTTTACACTCTCACACACACACACACACTCACACTCACACACACACACACACACACACTCTCTCACACTCTCTCTCTCACACACACACACACACACACACTCTCTCACACTCTCTCTCTCACACACACACACACACACACAGACTCTCTCACACACACCCACTCACACTCACTCTCACACACTCACACACACATTCACACTCACTCACACTCTCTCTCACACACTCACACACACACACACACATACACACTCACTCTCACACACTCTCACACACACACACACATTCACACTCACACACACTCACTCACACTCTCACACACACACACACATACACACTCACTCTCACACACTCTCACACACACACACACATACACACTCACTCTCACACACACTCACACTCTCTCTCACACTCACACACACACTCACACACACACACTCTCACACACACTCTCACACACACACACACATACACACTCACTCTCACACACACTCACACTCACACACACACACAGACTCTCTCACACTCTCACACACACTCACACACACACTCAGACTCTCACACACACACTCACACACACACACACACTCTCTCTCTCTCTCTCTCTCTCTCTCTCTCTCTCTCTCTCTCTCTCTCTCTCTCTCTCTCTCTCTCTCTCTCTCTCTCTCTCTCTCTCTCTCTCTCTCTCTCTCTCTCTCTCTCTCTCTCTCTCTCTCTCTCTCTCTCTCTCTCTCTCTCTCTCTCTCTCTCTCTCTCTCTCTCTCTCTCTCTCTCTCTCTCTCTCTCTCTCTCTCTCTCTCTCTCTCTCTCTCTCTCTCTCTCTCTCTCTCTCTCTCTCTCTCTCTCTCTCTCTCTCTCTCTCTCTCTCTCTCTCTCTCTCTCTCTCTCTCTCTCTCTCTCTCTCTCTCTCTCTCTCTCTCTCTCTCTCTCTCTCTCTCTCTCTCTCTCTCTCTCTCTCTCTCTCTCTCTCTCTCTCTCTCTCTCTCTCTCTCTCTCTCTCTCTCTCTCTCTCTCTCTCTCTCTCTCTCTCTCTCTCTCTCTCTCTCTCTCTCTCTCTCTCTCTCTCTCTCTCTCTCTCTCTCTCTCTCTCTCTCTCTCTCTCTCTCTCTCTCTCTCTCTCTCTCTCTCTCTCTCTCTCTCTCTCTCTCTCTCTCTCTCTCTCTCTCTCTCTCTCTCTCTCTCTCTCTCTCTCTCTCTCTCTCTCTCTCTCTCTCTCTCTC